CCTTAAAAGTTTGTAATACAGATATAACTTTTGAAAACAAACACAATCAGATTATCTAACAAGTCGAACCGAAAATTGGAATGTGCGTCAAACTAATGTTATAGGTTTCAAGCAACACTATTAAAGAAAATACAGTAACACAAAAGTGATAAGATAGGCCCTAAATAAGTTTTACGCTTTCACGTACGTCCAAGAAAAATAATAGAGCTACATGAATTAGGCCCCTCATCATCGGAGGTTGATTATTATGATTATGATTATTATTACCCTTTGTGTGCAATGCCGGAGCCAGGATTTTCAAACGGTGTGGGACAATATCAGGTTACGTAAATTTCAAATAATGTGGACCTATTTTCTACGTTGCCCTGTTTTACACAAAAATATGAATAATCTGGACCCATTTTCTTAAAAATTGTGTGGGACTGTCCCAAAGTCTGGCTACGGCATTGTTTGTGTGGAACAAGGGAAGAGAGTGACATCTCAAAGCTAATTTATTTTCTTATTTACACATTGTGTTCAGGCTTTGAAATTAACATTTGATAAACCTCTCAGTTCTATCTTTAATCACGTAAAATAGGCTTACAACACAAACCGGCGGGGGATCTTGTTGGCCTCCTTGCCCCAGCTTAGTTGCTCGAGCTGTGCTCGCAAGGCTCGTATCAGGGGCGGCGCTAGCGGGGTCCGGGGGAGGGCAAAGGACCCCAGTCGGGGACCACTGAACCCCGCACTTGGATCCCACTGTGGGGGAATTTCCAGCAAGGTCGTCAGGGAAAAATGAAATCTGGACCGCCGAAAGTACAATTTAGGTATACCGTACCTTACTAAGCTTTCAAATTTTAAGGATTAAAAACTTTAAGTGGGAGGAGTGCTACCGTATGTGCGAGGTGTTTTCGCGATAGTATGGGTTGCGGTGGTAGTGCAAGATCTTCAGTAGCGTATTTTGCGAATTAGCACCCCTCAACTGATCATCGAGGCCCCCCCCCAACTTCACGTTCGCACCCCCATTTCAAGACTTCAAGAACGAACTCGAGACGTCAAGGAATTATGAAGATAAAGTATGAAGATGAATAGGAAGTCGGAGATGCCCATAAAGAAAATGAAAATCATGTAAAGTAAATAAATGTTATGAAAAGCAAATGAAAATGGGTCTATATTTTTGTATCTGCTCCAATACTGGTAAACAATGTAAATTAAAATAATGAGCAAGCGTCATATATTTGTTACACAAATAAGCAACATTAGCTTTTCATTTATTTTGTTTCAAGCAAACCAATTATATCATAGAACTTACATGAATTTACAATATATCATTCAAAATAAAATATTCTTTTATATAAGTTATATAACTTACAATATATATTTTTTTTTACATTTTTATATTGCAGGGTTTTACCGACCATAACCTTGTACAGTTTTATCACCCTCTACAATAATCCTCTTACCATATATACACAATTCTATAATCTTTATTATTTTTTATTGCAATTTATTTAATTTGGGTCTTCAGGTAATTCGATTAGAATCAGTAGTAGTAATTGTATTTTGACCTATGCCTCTAACCATACAACTAACCATTTGGAAATCTATCGTAATACGTTCACTTTACACATTGTCTTTCCAGGGTCTAATTTATAAGAAGTAATTCTTCCTGTCTTTCCAGGGGATAATTTGTAAGAAGTAATTTTTCAGATCCCTGACACAAAACATGTAATACATTTTCTATTTCATTGGTGAGGTCGCCATTTATCTTGGTTAGTAGGGTTAGAAACAAAAACGCATGAATTGGTATGATGGTACAGGACGCAGTCCTGTAATTTAACCGACGAAATCATTTTAGTCTTGCAGTAGCAGTCATGAAAGCTGCAATTACAACATTCAATTTCCTATTTATAGTAGGCCTTTGTCCATCCCTCTCATCTAAGGCTAAAATATCATTAAGTTTATGTTACTGACAATAATTTCTGGGTTACAAAGATCATAATACTTAGTTTAGATCAGAACTACCGTGTAACCCCAATGAATACGGGAACCAATATACAAAGAGCCCTCTTCCAAAAGTAATAATTTAACTGTTTTCCTCATTAAGAGTGATAGTTATTGTGACCACCACTAAGGTCCCAAGGAATTTCACATTCCTTTTTTACTTGTCACATCTCCAGCGCATCGATAAGAGCTATATTCAATTTTCATTGTTATTAATTCGCATTAAATGTTTAATCCGGCCTGTACGACTGGCTCGTTTTAGATTTCTAGATTGATGATTGAACAAATTTCAGGAGTAAATACAAATTTATTTGGAGAGTGTATATTCATTTGATTGAACAAGAAGGGCTACAAAATGGGGGCTCATCTGGGAACATACCAATCTTCAATTGTGATTAGTGGAATTCTGGAAAAGTTCAGAGCCAGTGTACGAGGATGCCAGATTATCAAACCTATGGGATAGAATTGTGCGAGGAAGAGAAATATCATGTACAGCAGAGTCTATTGATGGCAAGCAGGAAGTTCAAAATAGACACAGCAAGGATATGTAAGTGCTTATGTGGTGCTCTCCCAGTAGACAAGATATAGAGAAGAGAAGAGGTTGATGTGCATGGTTGGCAGAAGACGATGGTTAATGGTTAATGGTTATTAATTTATAAAGCGCAAAATACAAAAAGTCTCTAAGCGCTATCAGGCAAGTGTAAAGATGGAACGGAAACCAAAACCACAAAATAAAAAGAAGTGAAATTTGAATACCATGCCAGCACCCAAACCGAAGTATGGGGATACGCCCTCATCGCTGGCTAGGGTTCAATCTAATTGAACTGCAGTCAGCACCTGTTGAGTCTCGGCCATCTCGGATTTGGGCGCCTTTAATGGGACGAGAATAAGTGGGTCTTAAGTCGTTCTTTGAAAATGGTGACAGAAGGTGACTCACGAATAAATAAAGGTAACAAGTTCCACAACTTGGGCCCAGCAACCATAAACGATCGCTCCCCACAAGACTTTAACCGAAAGGATGGACAATAAAGATTGGTTGAGTCAGTTGTTGACCGGAGGGAACGAGTGCAAGTTGCAGAACGAACCTTAATTAATTCGGAAATGTATTGTGGTGATAACTTGTGAATTGATTTGTAAACATATAGAAGTACTTTGAATTCAATACGCTGTTTCACTGGCAACCAATGAAGACGACGAGGAGTAGGGATGATGTGATGGAATTTAGGTGTCCCGGTGACAAGACGAGCAGCGATGTTCATCAATAGCTGCAGCTTTCTAATTGATGTTAATGGTATTCCGTAAAGGACTCCATTACAATAATCCAATCTTGATGTAACCAATGCATGTACAAGTTTTGATGTAGCATCTTCATTTAAAAAACGCCTAACTGCCTTGA